TGTAATAAATTGTGCGGTAATATGTAACATATATTATATTATTATAATAAATTGGATCGGGTTGTTATCGAATCGGATTGACTTATATCCATATTTGCTCAATTTAGTTAACGGATTATTGGATTTGAATCTTAATCGGGCTATCGGAATGAGACTCGAAATTCAACTCTCATTTATTTCATCAAATTCGGATTAAAATTCAATCAATTGACCGTCCAATTATATCATTAACTTTTTAATTGATCATTCCATTAATGAGCATATATCGGTTTCGATGATGATTGCATACTTTGAAATTAGGAAAAAAAATATTTCTTCCCACTTTTGCATTTATTACTTTCATACGAATGATGTAGAAATAAATTGTTTTACGCCCTACTTTCGACAAAACAATATTAGAAATAAGATTTATTAATTAATGAAAGGCTGATGATAAAAAATCGAAGAAAAAAGTTCTAAGTATTATAATAAATAAAGATTGAAAATCTTAACTGCAAATAAAATGAGTGTTATTAATACAATTCCCCCTCTCTATCAAATGGAGGTTTTATTCAGGGAAAATATTTTATAAATCCATCTCTTTTTAAGTGCATTAGAGATCTTTCAGATTTTGGCTGTTAATCATACCAAACATGAAAACATGCACGTGTGTGATTGAAGTCGAGAGTAAATCAAATTTACTATATTAAATTTAATTTTTATTTGTAAAAATATTTGGACGTGTCTAAGTGCATGTTTGGCTAACAAAGCTTGAAACTTACTTTAAGTATTGAAATAAATAATAATCTAAATTGGGAATAAATAAAATATTTACTTTAAAAGTGGAAATAAATAAGTATTTACTACGAAAGTGATTCTTACTTTATTGTCAAAATAAGTAGTTGAATAGCGCATACTCTTATAAAGATGATTTTCTTCAAGATAACATCTAATATTTAGTGGTCATTCCCTCAATCTATCATCGATGGGTATCACATGAGTCTCTAGTTTCGGTTTCTATCCCCCACATTTAACTTAATAATTCACATTTCGAATATTATAAGATTCGTAAAATTTTTAAATTGATAAATAAGTTATTTATTTATTTATTTGTATCGTCGTTTACAAATACTTCCATGTACGTGGTGAAACTATTATTAGGAAATGCAATTTGTCGACAAATATTTTAAAATAATATTATTAAAAAAATAATTTAGTTTAAATTGAATGTAGTCAGAACTATGAAATTGTGTACAAGATATTGTACCTTAGTCTTACAAGGCTAAAACAAATGAGCAAACAATGTAAACTAAAAGGAAACTTCAAAGTCAAACCAATCTCATAAGGAATGTTTTACGTACTCCACAATTTTTTTAGCTTGAAAAAGGAACTTAAAATGGTAGCCTGTTATCCAAATTTTAACACAAACATGAAATGTATCTATGTAATTTTAAAATTAGAATGGGTGTATATGTTTTCGTCAGCAGATATTCGAGGAAGGTCTTTATATAATAGGTAATTGTATGCACGCTACAAATTCTACTTTCTGTCCCATATTTTAATTTCACTTGCTTAGTGTAACACTTGTAGTCCGAGGAGGCAGAGCTTCCAAGTGTCGATTGGCTTTAGAATACGGGGAAAATAGATGTAAAAAAAAAACTACTTAAAAAGACGTGTTTTAGTGTATATCTTGTCTTCAAGCTCAAAGAAGATGGATCAAATGAGCTTGAACGAGCCAAGGAATTAATTCGGTTTGTCAAAGAGAAAGCTCATGGTGCTTGTCATGACGGCTATAGTGTTATATACATTGACAAGAAAAATGAAGCTATTGAAAATGTACATATTCCTAGCCTTCGAACACATGAGCAAATGGAGATTAAGCTTCACATATTTTTCAACAATTAGTTGAGGGATGACAATGAGGTAGAGATACGACTGATTGATACAAAGGAATTTGCATTAACAGTGTTGTTAGAGGAATTGAGGTTCGCCCCAGTTTATAAAATCAGAAACCGTCTTGATAAATGTTGCTATTCTTATTTTCATAAACCTGGAGAGTAAATCATCGCGAGTGTACTATTTCAAATAATTATATTTTTAGAGTAATTCTTCACTATACTTTCAAAATAAGTAAATTTTCCTACTCAACTTATTCTAATAGAATAGCATCTCAAATAAACATAAATCTCTTTATACACCAATGATGAGATTAGTGTTGAAATAAATGATCTTAATCTCTCAGTATATAAGTACGAAATTGTTCTCCTGTTCACAGCGAGCAAGAAAAAATTGTCCACTTGCTGATGTGATTGTAGAACTTAAAGTAACATTCTCTCCAAATGTGAGAACATAAAATAAGGTTTTCTCCACATAGGCAGTTAAGACTTCCTACTGTGGGCAGAAGAACATTTCTATATATAAGTATCATATCCACGTAATTATCACTATTATTTTCATGTTTGTATCTTATTTAACACACATATCACTATTATTAACATCATATTTGAGATATACTTATCGTTATTAATATTTTATTCTTTAACAACGCAATATTAAATAATAATCGGAGATTAAGCCTGGCTGGCATGCCTATGGCTCCATATGTTGCAGTCGGGGCTGAAAGTGTCAAACGTTGGAACATTGAGTTGAGAAGTATGGGTGCTGATGTTCGTGTTTGAGACGAATAATGTATTTTCTTCATTTTAGGTCCGTTCAAAAACCGTCTCACTTGGGAATGTAGGCTTACGGAAACTCCTTTGTGCGTGGTACATGTTTCGGAAAGTTGGATTTGGTAAGTGTCGATAGAGATTTTAATTTGTGTACTTAGTTGAGCTGTTTCTATGAGTTGGAATAAGATTTTTATCTTTGTACTTAGTTGAGTTGTTTGCAACTTTGTATGAGTTGGCATAAGCGGAAGGTTCGTTTGTGTACCCAAGCAGATTTGAAGGAAACCAGATTCTGTCTCTTGTTCTCTCTTCTAATGGAAATTTTTGTTATTACAATCACATGGCGAGAATTGAATGGAAGATGGAAAGAGAAGAAAAAAAAATTCAATCATCTGCGGCCACGTTAGCAGCGATAGGAATTCCTATACTCGTGACTTTTTCCTTGTTATTGTATGGTGAGAGGACTGTTGAGCAATTTGATACCTAATCAACATTGTATAAATGTAATTTTAATTTTGCTTCTGATAATTGTAATGATTATATGATACCTGAACTTGTAAATCGATCGAATGTTCAATCCAGGGGGAAAGAGAACAGTGTGTACTAGATACTAGCTATTTGTACCTGTATAGTATTAAGAATTTCATGAAATTTTTAATTTTACATTTTTATTATAAAAATATGGATATAATGGTTAATTCATAAAAAAAAAATGAAAAAATAGTGTGGACTGCCAACAATTTTGTGTGAAAACAATTCTTCAATGAACTCTTAACCTATTGAACTTTGTGAAACTAAGTCCCCACAATATGAAAATCGACAATTTGAAACTTAAAATTGCGCACGAGTTTCACGTTAAAATTAGAAAAATATTAGGCAATATAACCGTTTTTTCATCAAGCTTTAATTTACTTGAAAGTCACCGACAATTTGAACATCCACAATGTTGATTTCTGTCACGTGTGGACACGATCTCATAGTACTAAATAAGTTGAAAATCAAAATCTCACTTTTGAAGGGTGTAGAGTCATTTTCACACTACTTGAGAAGTGGGAGCTCATAGGATACCCAACCTTTCACATAGTATGGTTATGGATCTCTAATCTTTAGTAACATACTAAATATTTCTCCACAATTTAACTGAAAATTGTGTGCAATTTTAGCCCTTGTTTGAGCTTCATTAAAATCAAATTTTGAGGAAAAATGTATTGGAACCGTGATTTTTGGAAGAATGTATAGTTAAAAAAGAAAGAATTTTTATTTATTTATTTGTAATATTATTTTATTGAAAAATGAGTGATTGAAGAAAAGAGAGAAAAATTTATTAAAATTTTAATGGAGCCCAAAGGTCGTTTAGGGTGTGTTTGATGGATATTATTAAGAAAAAAAATGTATTTTACATAGTGATATGATGAGAAATATCTGGTTAAAAAGTAAGGAAATGTTATTGATGTGATGAAAAATATTATTTTAATGAAAAATGTATTGTTGAAAATGAATTTTGAAAGATCGTATTTTGAAAGAATGTTTGTCAAACAGAAACTTAACTTTCATATTATCTATTTTCATTAAGTGAGAATCTATAATTACATAGTTAAAATTAAATTGGGTACTCAAAACCATACTTTAAAGGTTGGAGTTAGAGAGGCCCCTAACTTTTCCCATTAAGAGCTTATTTGGGAGGAATTAAAATCAGATTAAAATTAAAAATATAGTCGTTGAAGTTGACTTTTATTAAAGGAGTGGGACCCAATAAGAGCCATATTTTCAATTTTAATTGAATTTTAATCCTTCCCAAACAAGCTCTAAAAATGACCATGTAACTGTCCAAAAATGGAATATGTCCTTAATGTTACACAACTGGTAAGTTGGGGATTATGCCATGTTGGACGCACACCTTTTTTAAAACTTATTTTTAATTACACATTTTTTAATAAAATAATATTTTTATCACATCAATAATTTTTTCTTACTTTTTAACCACATATTTCCCATCATATCACTATTTAAAATACATTTTTTTCTCAATAATATTCATCAAACACACCTATATTGAAACTAGATGAATAGATTTGTGAGATTTTTCCTTTCTTTTTTTCCAATTGGGCACCTCTTCGGTTCTATCCCCTCCAGTTCTCCAAGATTTCCAATAAACTCGTGGGTTTTCAATCTGACTTTGCACTGGTATAACAGTATTATTAAGAAACTGTAAGGGAGCTAATTGTATTTGTCATTTACCAGCAACTGAAGATAAAGTTGAGCTATCCGTGAGGGCTAATCTTTCTTCCATTCTTACTGGTTTGTCCAAGGAATATAATTATGTTATGAAAGCTTGAATTTTGCGACTACAAAATCATGCTCTTGTCTTCTTCTCCCCTTCTCTCCAGTAGGGCTTCTTTTCTATGTAAGTCTCTCGCTCTTGATTTACATTTTTCTATCAAGATTCCCAAATTCTTACTTGTTCTTTGAAGTGGATTTATGCTGGTATGTTACTATTGTGACACTAATGGATACGTACTTAACAAATTTAAGAGTCCCATTTCAGCTTTTGGTAGTTCTCTGGTAAGAAAATCAGGAGCTAGTGCCGAAATCGAGTTCTGAATTATTGTCACTTTGTTTTTCAATATTCTTGGACAGTTAACAATTACAATAATATTGTGTACAAATGTAGCTTAGTTAATGAATAAAATTAGCTGGGGCTGCCAAAATCGAGTTCTGAGTGACACTTTCTTCGGTTATCTGATATTCTTGGATGGTTGCTACTCACAGTGGTAGCACTATGTTGCACACTTTCCATTCTTATAAATGGTGGAAATAAAAAGAATAAATGGATTGTACATGTTGCTTTAATTCATAATTATATTCCTTCCTATTTGGACTTTTCTAAGCCTCCATTCGGCTAATTTATGAATCATTTATAAATAATCAACTATATATTCCAATGGACGCACAAGTGTTATCGACTTATCCACCACTTGTTTATCTATTTATAAATCAAATTGTTTATAAATTCTTCCCAAACGGAAGCTAAGGCTTTAGCCACATTACTGGGCCCGTTTCAATATCAAATAAGATGTATAGGCCATGATAGAAAAATGATGCCATGTGTTCTCTATAATGGAATTATTTTTCCAATTCATTTTCTTCCTTTACCTCTTGCATCATTTCCATGTTTGATTCAATCCAAGTTAGCCCCTTTGTGCTTGACATAATCTAATGTTAAAAATTTGGAGTTGTTATGGAAGTAATATGTTTTTTTTGTAAGTTTATTTTTTACTACTTTCTTTGTGATGTCTCTTGTTATGAAACAGTTTTCATAATCTTCTTCAGTTTCTATTTCTTTGTTACACGCAATTGTATAATTTTTTTGGGCATAAATCTTCCAGGCCGTCCAACATTTGGATTGTTTTCTGCTCGGAGGAATATCAGAGCGTCTTCTTGCGCACTTCACAATTTGCAGAATAATGGGTATCATTGATAAGCATGATCAAATATTACTTGATCTGTTCTTAGTCCTCTGTATTTGATTTTTGCTCATGTTCACTTGCTTATAAACACTTTTCCTTGGCTAGAAAACAGGCTAAAAGCATGTTGCACTTTGAGGAGAATGTAAGGCGGAGACTTCTCTTAGTTTTCCTGGTTGGCTCGGGCATATCTACAGCTTTGCCATCCTCTGGAAAGATGAAAAAGCAAAGTCCTTACGATGAGAGACGTTTACTAGAACAGAACAAGCGAATACAGAGAGAAAATAATGTGCCTGATGACTTCCCTAATTTTGTTAGAGAAGGTTTGTTCTTTTCTTATAACTGTGTTAATGGTGGAAATTGTTGGTAGTAACTTGTTAATTCCAATCTCTCCCCACTATTCTTATTGATCTCTAGGATGTGAACGTTGTTGTTTCTATCTGGTTCAGGTTTTACAGTAAATGTAGTGACACCGGACAAATATGTTAAACGTGACTCGGGTCTCATATTGTGGGACATAGCAGCTGGTATGGGTGATTGTCCAAAGGATGGTCAACAGGTTTTTCTTTGTTCTACTTGTTTCTAGAAATCTTTGTGACTTGCTTTCCTCAAAGTTCATCAATGATTTTGAAGTTGAAACATAAAAATGAATGTACTATTTGATTGAGAATAACTCAAAAGTCCTTTTCAGTTTGCTTCTAATTATTGGTTTAAATTTTTTATTTATGGTGTCTTGGACTGAAAAATGGAAAGTGAACATTTTAGAGTGCATATTCAATCCTGTAGTGAAATGACATAATTTACATGAGCGTTGTGAGGACAAATTTGAATCATCTGTAGGCTTTAATAATTGAGTTTTCACAATGTTGCTCAAATTGTATGTCACTTCCTACATATGGTGATTTATTCCGATTTCTTTTCTCCGGTAGGTGACATTTCACTATATTGGTTATAATGAGTCCGGCCGCCGTATTGACAGTACATACTTGCAAGGTTCTCCTGCGAAAGTCAGAATGGGTACTAATGCATTAATTCCAGGTGACAAAAGCAAGAAATTAACAACTGAAATTTTGCTACTTTTTCTTATTGAGATAAAGTAACTGAGCAAAATTTTCAACGTAGGGTTTGAGGAAGGAATCCGAGACATGAAACCCGGGGGGAAACGGAGGATAATTATTCCTCCAGAGCTGGGACCACCAGTACGCAATTTGTCTCTCTGCCTGATTTATTTATCCATATAAACATTATTGATTCTTTCGTTTGCTCTTTATTCTCTAATAAACACTAGTCGTCTTCTGTATCTCCAAGTAGTGCTAAAGAAGCCTATCATTTGAACGTGTTGAATTAACTTTGATTGTTAGTTTTTCATGTTGTGAACTTCCCAAGTTAAAAATCGACCCAGACTTGTCAATGAGATTAGAGAATAAAGAACACGGAGATTTCATTTACTATAAATACCTATATAATTGATTGTAAATTATTGTAATTAGCTTCATTACCATATTTAGGATGTATACAATTTCTATTTAAAGGAAGAACCCTCAAACGGGAAAATCATTCAGCCAAACTTTGTCAAGACTAAAATTTGAAGTTCTCGTTCATGTTGTAAAAGAATAGTTTTTAACTTTAAACATTAGATTTAGAGCCCTTTCTTCTAAGAGTGCCATGTTTCTCTACTCAGTAGTTTGTAACTTCTTCTGTAGTGATTCACAATGTCAAATGAATGTCAGTTGAATTATCTCTCATTTCAGCCACTAGCTCTGATTCTTCAACATTTAGAAATGCTTGATCTGATCTCAGATGAAGACATGGATAAATGTAAGACTTTAGAGTCCCGAGTTTTATATTGTGTGCAAGCATAATGTCACCAAACGGCATTTTGTTGCAGATTTGAGGTAAATGTAGAGGCTTGATTGCTTGTCTGGAATCTTAATTAAGATTCAATCTTGGTGTGGATAAAAGCCAAGACGGCCTTAGACAAATAAGAACATGAATTCATATTGAACCAATTTCTTCCTGTTGCTGACACAATTACAGCATGTCGTACTTTTGCCACTTTTTCAATACGAACAAACAAGCGCAGAATTTCTTTGTTCTAGAGGCCTGTGATACCTGCCTATTAATTCAAATTCTAGACACAAACATTGCTTTGAAAATGATATGATGATAGTTTCTCCCTTCTACTTTTCGGTAGAACAAAAATAATAGGCTGGTAGCAATTGTTAAGAATCTAGTTACTTTATATCTTTCCATCGATTTTGCAATGAGTGGAAAGGAGTAGCATAGAACGATCTAACCTCGAATCTATTGGGAAAAGAGCTTTGTTTGTTGTTGTTATAGTTCCATCGTGGTTTATTATAAAAGGTGGATGTTTTTATGTTCAACAGGTAGGACCTTCTACATTTTTCAGCTCAAAGCAATTTGAAGTTTTCGACATCGAATTACTAAGCATTCAAGATTGCCAGAGAAGGACCATTGGATTTTATTCTGATGTCATATGCAGCTGATCATGGCCAGTCTTCGGGCACAGGCTGACCCTTGACAGCTAAACCTGAAGAGGAAGATCACAACTGAAACGACATAACAAAACGAACTAGCATTGAGCCAGGGAAATTACTAAACATGGAGATAGTATTTTGATAAATTTTGTAATATTGTTACTTCTCAAGCATGGCGGGTCGGGCAGTCTAGATTCAGCATGGCCAAACTTTCCTTTTGTGCGACTCGCTTTTATTTTATTATTCGTTGTTTTAATGAATAGTAACATTTATGTTAATGTTGAGCTTGGAAAGTAGTCCATTAATGTGTAACATGCGATATTGTCGTCCAGTTGACTACTCGACGCATTACATAATGAAAATAATAAGTTATTTTGATACCTTGGAACAATTCTGCACTCGATGATTTATTCATCCAATCAATTTTTTTCTAAGAAAAAATGAATAATTTAGTTTCGAATGAGTAAATATTTATTGAATTTCCTACTCAATATGGGAAAATATGTGCAACGGGAAATTATGGGAACGACAAAAGAAAACTGGAAAAGCATGACTTACCAAAGTTTTCCGAGGATTTAGTAAAGAAATTAACGTTCATCTTTCAAGATTGTTAAATTTTTTGTGCTCAACTATATTTAATTAAGTTTTTTACGCATGCATCAATTGGTCAATTTCACATGTAACAATAATGTTATTTAGTATTATTGGTGCTATAACACCAGCCTATATGACATGTAAGTGGCATTAAATAATAAGTTTAATTAAATGTGTCCTTGTGAAATTCATATAATTGAATTTACGTGTGTTGTCACTTAAACTGGTATTTAGCACTAGCAATAATGTGAAATTTCCAAAGATTTTGTCATATGCTTGTCGTGCTTCAATTCATTTGTGAACTTTATAAGGTTTATAAAAATTTGATATAATGCACGAGTTCATTATATTATTTGATAGCTAAAAGAAATGCTAAAGCAGTATTAAAGTCAAAGGGTATAATGATGCTAATTATAATCATGACATGTTTAGTACGCAATATTAGATAATCTTATATAGTTACACGGTATCATTTGACCTAGAACGAGTTCAAATCATTTTCATTATCACTATTAAAGTCCAATTATCCATATTGCTCTTTCAATTCCTCTTCTTTGAGCTTGTTAATTCCATGAAGATACAAAGTGATTCATGCAGGCAATAGAGATATGAAGATGATGAATACAGCATAATTTTTGATCAACATACTCGTGTTTTAATTTGTAGTTCATGTTCTCACATTCGATATGTGAGTAAGAAGTGAACGGACATTCTAATGCATCATCGAGCATATGTACGAGCATTTTGGTGACTAAAATCGAAACTATAATGATCGTGGAGGTTTATGTTTCATAAGTTGTCCATAAACCCGTGTTATCTCGTAAATAAAAATAATAATATAATTTCGGCTAAATATTCTTGACCGTCCATAAATTGTTAATCATCTCACTTATGAGTCTCGCATGCGTTAAGTTTTAAGAATACATAAATTCCTATATGCTTCTGTTGGGCAGAACATTCATGTCGCCACTTGTAGAAGCTTAGAATTCATTAGGTATGCTTATACTCTACCACCCAGTATTTTAGTTCATAAACATTTTCATTTCCAACTTAGAAACACTAGTTCACTTGGCCAAAAGGAAATTCTGATTGAAGGTGCTAATTATTGTACTCCAATTGTTACTCTCTGTAATTCTTTCAAATATACTGGTTGATAATGTAGCATTTAGGTCCATTTCACTGAAATTTCCAAAGGTAGATTTCTTACACTTGAACACAACGTGAGGGACTGATAATAGTGTGCGTGAGAGTGAGAGAGAGGGTGAAAGAGAAGCGTACAAGCGGTATGAGGCTTTGGTTCTGCGTTCTTTGATATTCTTACCCTGATTTCTCTCCGACCCTTCCTCACCTTTGTCTTCTTTCTTCCTATGTATACAGATTTACATATACTTATCGCATATATATGTAGAGATTTGATTTTTACCTACATAGCTATATAACTCTGCATCAATCTATATTTTGTTGCATCTGGCTATTAGTGGGATATTTTCAAGCTTCTTGATTGCGATTGTTGGAACAGAATAAATTCCAACACTGGAAAATTTAAGGGTTTATTATAAGGCCCACGAGGTTAGAATACTTAGGTTGGAAGGGAAATGCAATTTACTTTTACTCACTGTTGTGCATTTATAATTACAGATTATGCTATCTATGGCTTAAAATCTTGTGAATTGTTTGAATAATGATATTCTGTTCTTTTGTACAGATTTAGATTTTGGGTCTGCTTAAGAATTCCACCTGTAGGTTCGAGATTTATTTTATTTTTTTTTAGGCTAGGGGGTATTAATTTTTGACCATTTAAATAAACTTTACTGGTTTCAGGCCTTGTATTTTGATATTGATGTGCTTTTGAATTCTGGGTATTTGTTTGCTCATCAGTTTTTTTCTTATTTGATGTGCAAAAGGTGCTTACTCCTAGGATTGCATGTGGTGTACCCCTAGTTATTTGAATGTTTGTGGTTTCAGGTCAAAGGAAATTTGTATAGAGTTATAGAGTTTGTTCAGGTTCACCATTGAAATGAGTTACAGAGTGGAATTGATACTGGAATAATGGTTTCTGGTTTTTATGGTTCATAAATCAAGCCAAAGGGCAGTGCTTTGAAGATAGATTATCAGGCTGTTAAAATACTTCTGCTTCATTACTGAGTTCAGAGTTATCGTTATATGCATCATTTCTGGCATAGAAATCCTGGTTGCGTAATAGTTTCTGTGACTAAACCATTGAAGTATGAGTAGAAGGGTGCGGAGGAGGATTGCGAGGAGGGGCAAAGAGAAAGTGGATTGTGTGGAGATTGATGACAATTTGAGTTTGGACGAGAAAGGGGTACTTGATTGGATCAGGTTACCTGATGATACAGTAATTCAGCTATTTTCGTACCTGAATTACCGTGACCGAGCTAGCCTGTCTTCAACCTGTCGGTCATGGAGGATTCTGGGTAAATCTCCATGTTTGTGGCAGGAATTGGATCTGCGGCCCCACAAGTGTGACACTTTTGCTGCTGCTTCACTTGCCTCTCGGTGCCAGAATCTTCAGAAGCTTAGGTTTCGTGGTCTTGAATCTGCCAACGCAATTATAAATCTTCAAGCTAGGAATTTACGTGAGATTAGTGGTGACTGTTGCAAAAAAATGACTGATGCTACCCTCTCTGTACTTGCAGCCCGACATGAAGAGCTAGAGTGCCTTCAGATTGGGCCAGATTTCTGTGAAAGGATAAGCGGTGATGCAGTTAAAGCAGTGGCAATTTGTTGTAGACAACTGCAGAAACTTCGGCTCTCAGGTATTCATGAAGTGGATGCAGATGCTATCAATGCTTTGGCAAAGCATTGTCCGAATTTAGCAGATATTGGATTCATCGACTGTCAGAAGGTTGATGAGACTGCCCTCGGAAATGTTGGATCAGTTCGCTTCCTCTCAGTTGCAGGAACATCTAATATTAAGTGGAATTTGGTTTTACAGCCTTGGAGTAAGCTGCCTCACTTGACAGGCTTGGATGTTTCTAGAACTGACATTACCTCAAGTACTGTTTTAAGATTGTTTTCATCCTTCAGTAGTTTGAAGATTTTGAGTGCCTTAAATTGTCCAGCACTTGAGAATGATGCCACCCTCATTTCCAACAACAATCACAAAGGTAAAGTGTTGCTTGCTGTCTTCACGGACATTCTTAAAGGAGTAGCTACCCTATCTGCTGATATTACAGAAGACAGGAGCAATGTTTTCTTGAATTGGAGAAAGTTTAAAACCATGGATAGGGGATCAGAGGAGATCATGAATTGGCTGGAATGGATCCTTTCACATTCACTTCTACGTGTTTCTGAGGGCAATCCACCAGGTTTAGATAATTTCTGGCTCAACCAAGGCTCGATCTTGTTGCATAGTTTCATACGTACTGCCCAGGAGGAAGTTCAAGAAAGGGCAGCCACGGCTCTTGCAACATTTGTCGTCATCGATGATGAAAATGCCAGTATAGACACTGGAAGGGCTGAAGCAGTTATGCGAGACGGTGGCATACACCTTCTCCTGAATCTTGCTAGGTCATGGCGGGAGGGGCTTCAGTCAGATGCTGCCAAGGTAAGATTTCCACTAATATTTCTGTTGTAACTTGTAAGCCAGTAGGCTTATTTCTTATGTTCGCGTTCCTTGGACACTGATTGATCCCTATGTTCACCTTTCAATGTAACTTTGTTTTTACTCTTGTTTTTCCAAAACTTAAAATAATAGTAAATCAATATTCAGTAGATCATTTAAACTTTATCATTACTTACAATGAGTTCATATTCATTTTTCTTAAATATGTAGGCCATAGCAAACCTGTCGGTGAATGCTAATGTTGCAAAAGCTGTGGCAGAGGAAGGTGGAATCAGTATTCTTGCAAATCTTGCCAGGTCTGTCAACAAATTGGTCGCAGAAGAGGCTGCTGGAGGGCTGTGGAACCTTTCTGTTGGTGAAGAGCACAAGGTTGTTTTCTGTTATTCGATATGCATTACATTTTCATTTCCCGCCTTATTTTTTTACTTGATAGTTCAAATTTCTTCCAGGGTGCTATTGCTGAAGCTGGTGGTGTAAAGGCTTTAGTTGATCTCATCTTCAAATGGTCAAGGACCACTGGTGGTGAAGGAGTTTTGGTATGAGCCAGATGCACTTGAGTTCCTGTTTGTAACTTTCACCTGTGTTGGTCTGATATCAAAATAGATCCTTTCAAAACTGAGTAAATCTATTGGTGCTCAAGTGGGTTGTGTTTGGTTCTTTGCATGTTTCAGGAACGTTCAGCTGGTGCATTGGCAAATTTGGCAGCAGATGATAAATGCAGCATGGAAGTTGCTTCAGTGGGCGGTGTCCGTGCTTTGGTAGCACTTGCTCGAAATTGCAAGGTTGATGGAGTGCAAGAGCAGGTTGCATTATAATAAGTTTTAAAGAATGAGTATCTCATACTTGTTAGACACCATGATTTTGAGAGTGTGTTACTATCTAGTAGTTAGGACAACAGGGTCTGATTGCAAGTACAGGAAACTTTAAAATACAGTAGGAAAAAATGCTCTGGGTTGACCGTCTTGATTTATAAAAGGGTGGCATTCCTAATAGTAGTTAGTACTTAATTGATAACCACTAATCAGTATACTAGGAAGTAGGATCAGTTGGTCGCAGGACATTACTCTAGTCATTTCACATGCTATGTCCAATGAGGCTTTTTCAAAGGTTCATCATTTATTTTGTTTTTGTAGGCATCATTTGTTTTCTTGCATGAATGTTCTCCTCCGTACATACTGTACAAGTCTTTTCCTATATAAGATGCTAGTTTTTATAATTACACTCTGAACAAGCTGTTTTTAAGAAACTAGTTTGTATGTAGCTGTCTAAGTTCTTTATCATATGGTGCACAAAAGCATAAATTGTACTTATGTGCATTAATCATTAAATCTACTAGATTGACCATGCATAGCTCTGCCTTTTATGTACTTTTCAGAAGGCAATTTCTTGTAGTATGTTGGTCAATTCTCTACACTTTTTAAAGCAATTCGAATATAATTTCCAGTGCATATTCGCTACATTCTCTATGTATTCTCTTGTATTAGTCTGAAAGGGAATTGCATATGAGTTCTTCGAACTAATAGATGCTACTCCATTGGTGTTTTACCTTCAATTGTTCTCGAATTTGTAAAGATGTTAATGAAAGAAAATTGTATCATGCTTCTGACCAATATCCCATGAGGTTATTATCCAGGCAGCTCGTGCCTTGGCAAATTTGGCTGCTCATGGAGATAGCAATGGTAACAATGCTGCTGTTGGACAAGAGACAGGATCTCTTGAAGCTCTTGTACAACTCATCCGCTCTCCTCGTGATGGTGTCAGGTTGTGTATTTCACTGTTTTCTTGGTCAGTATTTTCAAGTTGTTTGCACTTTTGCATGGATTTGGTCATTACTGTGTTTTTTTTTGGTTTTTTTTTTGCATTTGTAAGAATGAAAATATAATGCCGTTATTGGCGGAAGTGTAGGCAAGAAGCTGCTGGTGCATTATGGAATTTATCGTTTGATGACAGAAATCGAGAAGCCATTGCAGCAGCTGGTGGCGTTGAGGCATTGGTATGGTAGTCTTTTGCTTGATCTTAAATTGTCCGTCACAATATCCGTACATAAAACGTTATGCTTCCTAGTTAAAATTAGTTTACAAAAAATTGTAAGATGTCTTGAAACAACTTGTAAGTCTAATATTGATTCAACAAAATCTGAAAACCATAAAATTTATCAAGAGAAGGAAGGCATAAAAGTTCGTAATAGACTTGTGCTTAGGCTGTGGGTTTAAACTTATACACAGCCACTTAGTGGAAACAATAATAAAATTTGGTCGCTTTCACTGGCTCTTCAGCACCCACACATGATGTTGTCTTACTTTTTTCCCTTCAACTTGTCCTGGAAAATATATAACAGAGAAGAGATATTGACCCTTGACTGGAGTTGTTGTATACATATTCTATTCTTCGTGAAGTTTTTCAACATGCTGTAAGGTTAAGTAGGAATTGCTTTGGTTGTTTTGGGGCTTAGTGTAACATTCTGATGTTTGTGTAAGATCTTCCTCTTCTACAATAGGTTTTTACTATTTCTGAAAACCCTCAATTTTTGTACTTTATACAAGTCCAAATATCATATATTGAATAAATCCATGTGAGCTATGTGATGCCTTTTTACTTTTACATAAAACTAGAAGTTAGCAACTAAATCTTCAAGTTTTTGTTCTCTCTCTCTCTCATTTTTTTTTGGTTAACTTCAGATATGTATTTTTTTCTTATAGCCCGGTATATGTATTTCATCTTGTTCTTCTCAGTAAGGTTTCCACAGTCAGCTCCAACTTGGAACCTACAAGAAATGGGTAGAACTATCCAAAAAACCCAACCATAAGTATATGCACGAGCTTGTGCTAGTCCATAAGGCTATTTAATTTAGATTTGCATTTATGATTTTGTTATCCTTTCATACTTGCGTGATGTTGGTCTGTTCCATCAGTCAGACTTCGTACTGCTGATGGTAGTATATGAATATAATATTTCTAATTACTCAGTGGAAAAGATTTATAGAATCCTTGCAAATATTTGGCTATTAGTTTTGCTTTTCAGTGCATTGGACCTTCTTTATTGTCTGCCTGCCCTTGGAGTATTTTAATAAAACAGTTTCTTGGAAAACTCCCCAAAAGAAAGTAAACTGGAAATGACAAATAGTCCAGTTTCTTGGACAATATGCTAATTGTTAAGATTTGGGTTTTCATCTTAAAATGTCAATCTTATTAAGAGGAGTAGTCCAATCCTTTATAAGTTGGTCTATGTTTTCATTTTTATTTGATGTGAGATTCTATTCCTTAACATGCCCCGTAAGATGGTGGCTCATTTGAGCAGACCAATCTTGAAATCCTATGCTCACTTTTTGGAGTTTTAATCGGATCGAATTGCTCTTAGAGATTAATGGGCTCTGATACCATGTTAAGAATTTGGTTCCATCATAAAAAAATACTAGATTGGTTCGACAGATTGTGGATTGGATCCTAGGTCGCAGCTCGAAGCAACCGTGTATTTCTTATGCTTCTGAAATCTGTAGAGAACATATTCATTGAAGGAAAGAGGTGATGCATCGTATTTTGAATTATGTCTTCCCCTCCTAAGGTAGCTCCAGCCAAACCCAATGTTCGGCAAACTCCTCCTGTTGCGGTCGATACATTAGAAAATCGAGCACCCATATTGAAAATATGTGCAATCTTTTCCGTTCCACTGCTGCCCTTGTTTTCAAGCGGCGCATATAATAATGCTACAGCAGTTGGTTCAGGAATCAGCATTAGAACACGAAGGCTAGACATGTCGCAGGCTCTTGTAAGTTGTTTCTGTTGGTATCGACTAAATGCAACAGGAATGGTCAGCACTGCATTTCGTATTTGACGCTTAACTTGGGTTTTAGCCACGCCTTTCACTTCTTGTAGAAGAATAGCAAGAGCTTCTTCAGGAATAGTAGACTTCCACAAATCGGTTACTAAGGGAGCAATCAATGGCATGTCACCCGTGTTTAGTGGCTGCATAAAAAACGGATATTTGCACCGATGAAATGCAGGGTCTGTGTCAGGTATACAAAGTAGACGTTTGATATTGTAAATGAATGACAGAGCCAAAAAACAACTTGTCCTCGTTAGCTAGTGTACTGGTTACACCACTTTTAGGATGATTTTTATCTTTAAATGAAACAAATGATTTCATCACCTTCAGGTCTTGATTATTGCTGAGGAGCTCCACCTCAAAGCAATTCCAAACTGCCACACTACATTGAGAGGTGCCAATATTGATTCCAATTGCAACATCCATGTATCCTTGTTCAGCCATTCCAGAGTCTTCGAATAAACGATTCACTTTTTTTGAAGAATGGAGAGAGACGAGCGAAGGCAAAATAAGAGACTTCTAGAAGAAGAGTTGTTGGATTACGAGCTCCAATCTTAAGCTGGCTGAAACCCAGCTTAAGCGTCAAATACGAAATGCAGTGCTGACAATTCCTGTTGCATTTAGTCGATACCAACAGAAACAACTTACAAGAGCCTACGACATGTCTAGCCTTCGTGTTCTAATGCTGATTCCTGAACCAACTGCTGTAGCATTATTATATGCGCAGCTTGAAAACAAGGGCAGCAGTGGAACGGAAAAGATTGCACATATTTTCAATATGGGTGCTCGATTTT